ACATGGCAGCTAACAACTATCCGTAACTCCAGGTCCAGGGGATCTGACGCCTTCTTCTGACACCCTCTTCTCCACAGGCATTGTATGGCATAGGAGCAGGCAATACACGCATACAAATAAAAAATAGTAAATAAATATAAAAAGAAAAAAAGTATACTTTGGAGAGGAAAAGAACATTAGGAAGCTTAAGGATGTAATGATGACGTGTTGAAAAAGAGCTTATAATTGTTAAAGTGACTAGTGGCAAGTAAAGACAAGCCTCTGGTTTTATAGTGGAACAACAGGAAAACATGCCCTGAGGTTGTCTCCAAACTCATACATCTTTCCCAGTACCACAAAGACAACACTGCCAAATTGCCTGGCAACTTGGGATGGGCCCTCACTCCTTTAGACTACATTAGAAGCAGCCTTTGTAGATTGAAGTAACTGCTTCTAGGAGTAGACAACTCCTTAGGCGTTCTCCTTCCAGAAGTTGGAAGCTTAGTGGGTGGGGTCTTGCACCAAGGGCACCCTTCCCAGTGTTCCACTGTAGAGCAGGTCTCTTTTTCAAAAATATTTTATTATTTTGATTTTATGTGTATGTGTGCATTGCCTGTGTGTAGGTAAGTGCACCCGTGTTGTGTAATGCCCAAGGAGGACAGAAGATGCTGTCGGATCCCCTGGAACTGGAGTTATGGACAGTTGTTAGCTGCCATGTGGGTGCTGGGATTTGAACCCTGGTCTTCTGCAAGAACAACCAGTGTTATTAACTGCTGAACCATCTCTCCAGCCCCAGGAGGTCTCTCTTAAGGGGCTAACCTCCTCAAGAATCATGGCCTCTTTCAACACCTTCTCCTTGGCTGTGACATGAAGCTTCCTGGTGCTCTTTTTTCTCTCCAAACAACTTGTTCTATTTCTTTCTATTCCACTTTCACCATAGATCTGGAAGTATAAGCCAAAATAAACCTTTTCCTCCCTGAAGTTGTCATTGGTCAGTGTTTTATGACAACAGAAGCAATTAGACCAGAAAGAAATAGGTACTGGGAATGAGGTATTGCTGACATGACCTGACCATGTGGCTTTCTATGCTTTTTGACTATTTTGTTGTAGGAACGCTGCTCATTGACTGACTCACTGGCTCACTTAGCTCACTTCCTTATAGAGCCCAGGCCCACAAGCCTAGGGATGGTGCCACCCACAATGGGTTGGGCCCTCCCACATCAATCAACAATTAAGACAACTCTCCACATAGGAGGTTCAAGTCAATGTAATCTAGGCAATCCCTCAATTCAGCCTCCCTCACATGACTCTAAGCCTTGTCAAACTGATAGCTGAAGCTAGCTTCCAGGACAACATAATCCCAAAGAAAATCCAAAAACTTTAACCAGTAACAGACTGGATTATAAAGGGAATATAAAAAGGAAAAAAGGGGGCTGGAGAGATGGCTCAGTGGTTAAGAACACTGACTGTTTTTGCAGAAGACCCAGGTTTGAATCCCAGCCCCCACATGGCAGCTAACAACTGTCCATAACTCCAGTCCAGGGTATCTGACAGCCTCTTCTGACCTCCATGGGCATTGCACAACATGGGTGCACTTACCTACATGCAGGCAATACATGCATACACATAAAAACAATAATAAAATATTTTGAAAAAGGGAGAAAACAGAACACAACACACAAGAAACAATATACATATGGAAACTATATGACTAAACTTTAAAAAAAAACTAAGTGATCAAGATACAGTACTATTTGGGGAAGAAAATACATAGATGAATAGAACAGGAACACCAGAAGAAAACCACAAAAATGTAGGCAATCAATTTTGACAAAAGAGCAGAGGAAACTCAATGAGGGAACCGTGGTTGTCTCACAAATGCTACTAGACTTCACGGGCACCCACACATAGAAAAGTAATTACAGAATTTACAACTTTCACAAAATTGGCTCAAAGTGCATCCTAATCCTAACTGAAATGCAAAATGCATAGCACATGGAAGGTACCCAGAGGAGCTGACCTTCGGGAAGGCTGAGTGACAGGTCTTCTCATGAACCTCACAGGAAAGCTGCATGCCTAGCCACCCAGCCATGGCCCTCCCGAGTCCTGGAGGATCGACTGTGGCCAGGCCAGGTCTGGCAGCTCCACCAGCCTCCCCTCCCAGTATGAGCACAGCTGGGCCCCAGGCTCACCACACCCAGCTTCCAGGCTCATCTCCCTTCACAGTCTCCCATTCACAGGTAGGAATGTACCTACTCACAGCTCACTGCAGAGGTGCTCATAACACAGGCACCTAGGTGGTGACTTCCTCAGAAACCTCAGCTCGGCAGTAGGACAGCCTGCCTTGAGGCCGGATTGGGTAAGGAGGCCTGAATGACCAGGGACCAGGGGTTTTAGTGAAGCACACAGGGATTGCTGACACCTTATCTGTCAGGCCCAGGCCTATGATTCCAGCACTCAGCAGCTATAGGCAGGAAGAGCATGCCTTCAAGGCCATTCTGGGCTACATGAGACACAAATAAAAATCCTAAAGGAAGCCAGAAGGACAAACTTATGAATGAATGGAAAAAGTGAAGCGTACAAAGAAATAGCAATTAAAGGAGACATCCATCAAATAGGTGTGTGGGAAAAAGGACAGTAATGAAACCAAATGTCAGTGTCATGAGAAACATAATTAGCATAGCCTTAGCTATATTGAATTTTAAAAAGGGATTCAAATAGCTAATTTCAGAAAAGAAAGAGTTGGATGTGGTAGTGCAGCACTGTAATCCCAGCACTGGGAAGGCCAAGGTGCAAGAATCCCAAGGTCAAGTCCTAGCAGAGCTACAGACTGCATTCAAGGTAAACCTGGAGACTGTCTCAAATGAAAACATTAAAAAATGGCTCAGTAACAGAATGCTTGCCTAGCCTGCGAGAGACCCAGGGTTCATAAGCCATTATCCCATACCCAAGAATGAACATAGATATTAGTACCAATCTTACAGAAATAGGATGGATTAGAAAAAAAGCAAATTGGATAACCTAGATGAGATTAAAAGAATTTGAGAAATACATAATCTCCTAAAACTGAATTGTGGAAACAGAAAACTTGGTTCGAATATAACTACCAAATACGTGGAATCCATACTTAAAAGCCCCCAAGAACAAAAGTGCATCACCACATAATTTCATTAATAATATTGATTCCATATTTAAGAAGAATTAGCAATCCTTTACAAACTCTTCCAACTGAACAGGAACACTTTTTAATTCATGCCACAAACCACTCTCACATTGATAAAAAGCCAGACAGTGGCACTAGGAAGAGGAAACACAGGGAATTGTCCTGTAAGAATTATTGATGCTCAAATCCTCAGCCAGGTGTGGTGGTGCACACATGTACTCCCAGCACTCAGGAGGCCCAGGCAGGCAGATCTCTGTGAGTTCAAGGCTAGCCTGGTCTACATAGTGAGTTCCAGACCAGCTGGGGCTACAGGGAGACCCTCTTTCAAAAAGACCAGAAAAAAAAAAAAAAAGGAATATTGATGTGCCCAAATCCTCAAGAAAACATTAGTAAATAAAATCTACTAACTGCTAGGAGGCAGCTCTTTCATTTTTTTATTTTATCTGTTTGTTTGAGTGCCTGCATGTATATACATGCACCGTATGCATGCTTTGTGCCCACAGAGCAAAAGAGTGTCAGATCCCCCAGAACTAGAGTTACAGATGGACTACCATGTGGACTACCATGTGGATGCTAGGAACTGAACCTGGTCCTCAACAAAAGCAGGAAGTGATCTTAACAATTGTGCCATCTCTCCACCCTAGTAAGAATACTTGTTAAAAAGTAGTTTACGTTGGGCATAATGGCACACACCTTTAATCCCAGCACTCGGAAGGCAGAGGCAGGTGGATCTTTGAATTCAAGGCCAGCCTGGTCTACATAGTGAGTTCCAGGACAGCTGGGGCTGCAAGGAGGCCCTGTCTCAAAAAGACCAAAAAAAAAAAAGTAGTTTACTATACTACATAATGTTAATAGAAGAAAACATGCATAAGTTCTAATGATATACAAAATTAATTTAATGAATTTCTCAATTTATTATTTTAATTTTAAAGTTTTATTGTATGTGTATGTGCACACACACACACACACACACACACACACACACATGCCATGGCATTCATGTGCTGTCAATTTGCTGTAGTTGGGTTTCTCCTCCGCCATGTATTGTCCAGCAATAGAACGCAGATGGGCAGCCTTGGTAGGAGGCGACTTTACCCACTCACCCATCTCTCCAACCCAACTTCATCATCATAGACTACACACAGTTGATGGATACAGATGTTCTGTTTGAAATGTTGAAAATTTTTCAGGCATGGTGACACACATCTACAATCCCAGACTTTGAGGAAAAATCACAAGGATCAGAAGGTCCAGGCCAGGTAAACTGTACCTAAAACCAAGCAAAATAAAGAAAAGGGAAGGAAAAAAAGTTTGAGGAAGAAGAAGCAGTTATGGTTACACAACATTAGGAATGTACGCATTACAGATAAATGTTAAAATCAGAACACTGAGCTGGCTTAGCGGAAAGGCACTTAGTGCCAGGCCTGATGACCTGAGGTTGATCCCAACAACCCACAAGGTGGAAGGAGAACCAAGTGCTACTCTGATCTCCACACATGTGCCTTGGTGCGTGTGCATGCACACAATAAATTTCATTTTTTTAATATTAAAACAACTTTTTATTTGTTAATGTTGCATAAGAAATTTAAGCATGTTGCTGAGCATGGTGGCGCACACCTTTAATCCCAGCACTCAGGAGGCAGAGGCAGGTGGATCTCAGTGAGTTCGAGGCCAGCCTGGTCTACACAGTGAATCCAAGACAGCTGGGGCTACAAGGAGACCCTGTCTCAAAAAGACAAAAAAAAAAAAAAAAGAAAAGAAAAGAAAAGAAATTTAAGCATGTTACACTATCTTAAAAAATACAACTAAAGCATCTTAAAGAGAAACCTTCCCCCACCCTAGCCCTGCCAGCCCCCAATCCCCTCATGAATTAAGAATCTAAGAGAAGTAGCCAACCAGAAAACAGCTTTGCCAACCCTCCTTCCAGAGGGCTCGCATGATGGTAATGCTAATATTGCCTGTTTATAAAATGTTTCTTTTCTGTTTAAAAAAAGTTTGTAACCTTGATTGCTTATTACAAAACAATTTCATATAAAAGTTCTATATATTGAAAAATGCTTTCCCCCTCCCTCACAGCACCACTTTATATACAGCAGAGAATGATCAAGAGCAGACTGCCCATCTACACAGAGCAAACTTCACAAATTAAACTTGGACAGTGGTTTACTTACCCTCCCTCCCCTTCTTAAAAGAACAACGACAACAAAAAATTACATACATACAAAAGTCAAAAAAAAAATTGAGGGACCTTTTCCAAACCACAGTTAGTTCAGTGTCAATAATTCACATCCTGCAACAAAGTATGGATAGGATTTCTTTTACAAAACTTTCAGTGTCAAATAGGAAATTAAGGCCATCAGATTCGCAGCTTAAAAATTCACATAAGGAAATATAAAAATATTCTATGCTTCTGAGAAGGCTCTGCACTGTATACGGGTAAGGGTTACCATGCTTCTCTGTCTTGGGGAAGACAGCTGACTTGAGAGGTTTACATGATGGCACAGCTTCTATTAGCTGTTCTTGGGGCTCCCTGCTGGTAGAAAAGCTCCTCCTCAACCACCACTCCAACAGCCTCCTCCTCTTCTTCCTCCTCTTCAGGTACAGTTGTTTTAAAGACTGTACTTCTTTGAGCAAACTCCTCTTCCTGAGAATTTTTCAATATAACCTTCACATCTTCACCAGTGCCCCAAGAGTTCTGATTCTTCCAGAAGAGGTCAATGGGAGGACTGGCTGTGACACCAGCATTTGCAGCCCAAAGAGTAACAGTCTAGCCTGCCTTCAGCACGTATCTTGAGGTATATTTGTAACTGACTGATGTGTCTCCAATTTTTCTGATCATCTCCCAGCCTCCCATTGGTTGATCCTGTTCCGAAGTGTTCTTCAGTCGAATACATTTCCCATCAATATCTATCTCTTCAATGTACACATTCCCGGTGGCTGAAGCAGAATGGGCAATGCTAACACTACTGCTTGCCTTCCATTCTTCAACATCGACTCTCTTATGCTTTCCTCTAGTCTTGCGTACACTGCGACTAGAAGATGCTCGGGACACGGTCACACGAGAAGGACTTGGAGAAAGCTTTAGCTTCTTCGCCTTCTAGGAGTTTCCTGTAAGGGCTGATCTCCATGTCCAGGGCAAGCTTCACATCAAGGAGTTGCTCGTAATCACTCAACTGCTCCTCCATCTCATCCCTTATTTCTGCCATCTCTCTGTCAGACAGCATACGAGAGTTGTCTTTCTCCTTAGCAAGCAAGTCCTCCAATTCTTGAATCTTTTCCAAACATGCTCTAGACTCTTTCTGAAGGTTAGACAGCTGAGATGAAAGGCTCTCGATCTGCATACAGCTTTCTATCAATTCTTCCCTGGCACTGTTGACCCTAGAGGTGTTGGTCTCTGAGGACAGTCCGGCATTCTCGAGTTTGGCATGGGAGGTCTGCTCCAGCTCTTCCTTGTACAGCTCACTTGGGCGTCATGCTGTTTTCTCGTCTCATGAAGCGCTTGAGCCAGCTTGTACTCACACTCAATCTGACGCCCAGAATCCACTTCTACCAAGAGAATCCACCTCTACCAAGCGAGTCTCATGCTTTGTTCTTGTCTCATTGATCTCTTCATACATGTTTTTACAAAACTCCAAGTCCCCGGTGAGGCTCTGACAATGATCCTCTAAACCCACTTTAAGCAGTTTCATCTGCTGTTTTTTGGCAGCAGGTAAGGAGGCTTCCAACTGGGCGATCTGGTCTTTCGGGTCTTCCAGACCCCCTCTAAACTCTTTTGTCACAAGAGCAGTAGCCAGAGCTGCATCTTTTGAGTTCAGTGCGGCTTCGTATTCTCGAAGCTTGACCTGGGCTCCATTAACATCAGATTCCTTAGCATAGTTGAGCAGCAGCTGGTCATGCTCGGCCTTGAACTTGCCCAGCTCCATCTGCAACTTGGCACGCTCGCGGGCCGTGTCGTCCAGCACAAGCGGCTCGTAGGCCAGCTCGGTAGAGCGCCTTGAGACCGGTGAGCTCGTGGCCACGCACTCGGTCTCTTGTTCTCCGTCTGCAGGCTGTGCACCTTGTCGATGTACACCGCCAGGCGGTCGTTGATCCCCGCAGCTCCTCCTTCTTCTGCAGCCGCGACAGCCGTGTGGGGGCTCAGCAGCGTTGCGGGGGCGCTGCGCGGAGGCCCGTTGCGGCAGCATGCGGGTTGCGGTTGCCATGGCAGGCAGCGATGGGCGGGGAGACCGGCGTGGGGACCCGGAGCACCGTGGAGGGCTGCAGGAAGGACCGAGCGATCACGGCCAGACGCCCTTTGTGAAGAAACACATGCATGCACACTCTCCCACGCTCCGCAAGAGGCCGAGCAGGATGCACGCAGCCTCCGCCGAGTCTCCCGCCTGCAGCACTTTGTTTCCTCAGGCTCGATAAATTTCATTTTTAACTTCACAAAAAAAATTTAAAGAATGTGAAACAAGTTTACACGTATATATTTTACAACAAATGCTTCAAAACAATAAACAGTAAGGAAAAAATGTGAAATAAATTAATAGGGATGAAAACTGCCCAGGTTTTTAAATAAAAAAGTAATGGCTAGGGACTGGAGAGATGGCTCAGAGGTTAAGAACACTGGTGGTTCTTGCAGAAGACCCGGGTTTGAATCCCAGCACCCACATGGCAGCTAAAACTGTCCGTAACTCCAGTTCCAGGGGATCCGACAGCCCTTTGTCCTCCGTGGGCATTGCAGGACACGAGTGCACTTACATGCAGGCAATACACGCATACACATCAAAAAAATAATAATAAATAAAATTTAAAACAAAAGTAATGGATATAACAAAAACGGATCAGAAATTGCAGGTTTGAAAAAAACAACCAAAAAACAAAACAACCCCGCCCCCCCCAAAAAAACCCTTAAAGTTCTAGCAATCGAAAAAATCAAAAATGAAGGACCAATTTTTGGTGGATCCTGCCACCATGCCTGCCACTTGAAGCCGTGCCTCCCTGACATGGTCTCTTATCCTTCTGGAGCTATAAGCCATAATAAAATCTTCCTTCTATACGTTACCTTGGCCATAGTCTTTTATCACAGCCACAGAAAGTAAATAGTACTCCAATGAAGAAAATGATCATCAGTGAGCTGCACGTGAAGCCCACTACACATGACAAAATATTTGTAACTAGATCTTTGAAAGGTGTAAAGATAGAGAAAATCACTTGAAGTTGCCAATTTTTCACCTGGGGTGGTGGTGCAGGACTTTAATCCCAGCACTTGGGAGGCAGAAGCAAGCAGGTCTCTGTGAGTTTGAGGCCAGCCTGGTCTCCATAGTGAATCCAGGACAGCTCTGGCTACAGGGAGACTCTATCTCAAAAAGACCAAAAAAAAATGTTGCCAATTTTTTCACTTCCTAGGCTATAAGTGCTTGCCTATGTGGAAGCAGTAACTTCTATCAGGTGACCATCCAATAATATATATATAAAAAAAGCAGAAATAATTCTCAGCAAATAATAGTGATTGTGTTTAAATATTACTTAAAAGGAAATTTGCTATTTTAATAGCTGAATTGTTTTTTTTGTTTGTTTCGTTTTTGATCCAAGTGATTTCTCAAATGATGCTGCCATGATTCAAAGTGAGCTGGCTGCCTCATAACAGGTATGGTGGTGCAAACTTGTCATTCCAGTACTTAGAAGTCAGAGACAGGATCCAGCTCCAGACCAGCCTGCCCTACACAGGTGGATCTCAAAACACAATACAACACAATAAAACACAACAAACAAAACAAAGCCCTGCATGGTGACATACACCTTTAATCCCAGCACTCAGGAGGCAGAGGCAGGTGGATCTCTGTGAGATCAAGGCCAGGCTAGTCTACATAGGGAGTTCTAGGCCAGCTGGGGCTACAGGAAGACTCTGTCTCAAAAACCCAAAACAAACCAAAACAAAACAAAACAAAAAACAAAAGAGAAAATCTCTTTCATAAATAAAATTCTAAAAATAAAGAAATAATTATGTAGAAAATCATCTTTCTTCCAAGAGCTATCACTTATACCATTCTAGAATGCTGTGGGAGAAGTGTAAGCAAAAATCAGATGCCACAACTTGCCTCACAGTTCCTTTCATACATGGGAGGGCCCGAATATTTCTTGCCCATATCTGTAAAATACTGAGCCAGAAGAACCCAGCTGGAGAATCTTTTCTCTGTCTGATGATGCTTCTTCAAGAGGGCTTCTCTCAGGACCCCTCTAACAGACTCATCTCCATGGCCCGAGGCTATCATGATGACTAGGACCACAGCTATTCAAGGGAAAAAAATTCAGAATTATTGTTACTAAACAAACACAGGAATGACTATAAGAATTAAACTCACTTGAAACCTCACAAAATAGAAATAGTTATGTTCTTACTGTATTGTTTTCATAAAGGCAAATATGAACATCATCCATCCACAGAAATGAGTAACTCAGGGAGACTCCAATTCCACTGAGGACCGTACATAAACAAGCAGCTGTGACACACTATTGGCCTTCCTAGGCTGCAAGTGCTTGCCTGTGTGGAAGCAGTAACTTCTATCAGGCGACCATCCAATAATACAGCTTCCTACACTGTGAGGTTATTCTCTGGTTTTCCTAATAAATTTCCCCTAACTAGTAGATGACACCCAGATCAATTTATAGAGTCATTATTAACCACTCACTGCCTGTGGTATTCTGGGAACTCAGTGGAGAATTGGGGAACTTGCTGCTTTTGCTCAGCCAGAGGAGCAAAACCCAAATAAAGTAGATAAAATACTGTAAAGGGATAAACTCTGGGAAAAGGAAGGAATTGGGTGAGGTGGCGATGGAGACAGGAATAAAGGGATGGTTCCAAATGTCATTCCAATGTATGGAATGACATTACTATAGTCAGAGGACTGCTTTCAATGTATAAAACATATGTACATATATTTGTATACAGTGGCACTAAGTAGAGTCTGTTTGTTTGGGGGGTTTTGTTGCTGTCATTTGTGTTACTCACCTTCCTCCCATACACACAAGCCCTACCAGAGATTGGGTTTTGTTTGTTTTTAGTCTTTTTGAAACAGGGTCTCTCTGTAGCCCCAGCTGTCCTGGAACTCACTATGTAGACCAAGCTGGCTTTGAACTCACAGAGATCCATCTGCCTCTGCCTCTGAGTGCTGGGATTAAAAGTGTGTGCCACCACGCCTGGCTAGAGATTGTTTGAAGAAGTCAAATTTCCGGGGCTGGAGAGGTGGCTCAGAGTGTTAAGAACACTGGCTGTTCTTGCAGAAGACCTGGGTTCGAATCCCAGCACCCACATGGCAGCTAACAACTGTCCCTAACTCCAGTCCCAGGGGATCTGACAGCCTCTTCTGTCCTTGGTGGGCACTGCACGACATGGGCGCACTTACCTACATGCAGGCAATAAAAGCACACACATAAAATAAAAATAATAAAGTATTTAAAAAATAAAAATCAAATTTCCAAAACTGGGGCTGGGATATAGCTCAGTTAGTAGAGGGTAGTAGAGGGCCTGTCTTGTTTGCATGAAGTCCTGGGTTCAGTCCTCAGCACCACATGAACTGGGAGTGTTGTAAATGCCTGTAATCCCAGCACTGTCTCAAAAAGAAAGAAAACCAAAGAAAAAAAAACTAGAACTCTAAGCCTTGTCCAAAACCCATGGCTGGGACATCACAGGCACTAGGGGGACATGTCAAACTGCTTTCTAAATATTTGCCTATTTCCATGGATTAGTGTTGTTCTCAGCCTTGATCAGAGATGCTTCTGTTTTCAGTGGCTGATAGTTAACGCAGAGACACAAACTAGTTAAGAGTGCTGAGAATAAGTGACTGTTGAGTGATGATCCTAAATGGGACATCTATGTCTCCACACCCTCCAAAGCTCAGGGAACACAGAGAAGAGGCCACAGAAAGAACGGAAGAGCAGGAGGATGGGGAGGAGGCTGTGAAATGCTGTCTTCTGGACACAACATGGTCACTGCACACATGAACTCGAGCAGCTATGGCTACCTGCACTAGATTGAGCCAGTCAATAGTCCATCATGGCTGGGGAAGCTGCATAAGAGGCTCCACCCCTCCCTAAGGAGCTACTGGCAGTTAATGGTTGGTGGGGGGGATCAGTTTTTTCAATGGCATAGCCAGGAGCAACATACACATGTTCCAGTAAATAAGCCCCCACCAATACTCATCCAAGCAACCCTGATTAAGCTCTGTGGGCCATGGACCAGTGAGATGGCTCAGCAGGTAAAGGGCCTTTCCCCAAGCCTGAGTTTAATTTCCCAGGATCCACATGATGGAAGAAGAGAACTGACTTCCACAGCTGCCCTCTGACTTCCACAGCTGCCCTCTGCCTTCCACATGTGCTGTGTGTCTCACACACACACACACACACACACACACACACACACAAAATAAAAATAAAAAGTAAAATGTAATAAAACTTTAAAATAAATAAATTCAATAGCTCATATACAACAAAGACATAAAAGGACGTGGGAAGAAGGGGTTTGGCAGGACAGGAGAGGATGAAAGAGGGAACTGAGAAATGAAAACGAACAAATACTATATATATTAAGTTATCAAAGAATAAAAAATGTAAAATGAGCAATGTGATAGCACATGCCTTTAATTACAGCACTCGGGAGTCAGAGGCAGGAAGTTCTTTGTGAGTTCAAGGCCAGTTTGGGCTACATAGCAAATTTCAGGCCAACCAAAGCTAGCTATATAGTGTGACCCTGTGGGGATAAAAAATTAAAAATGAAATGAAATAAAATAACATTTTAATTTGAGACAGGGTCTCCCTGTAGCTCAGCTGGCCTGGAGCTCGCTATGTAGACCAGGCTGGCCTTGAACTCACAGAGATCTGCCTGCCTCTGCCTCCCCAGTGCTGGAATTAAACGCATACACCAGCATGAATAACATTTTAAAAATAAAAATAAAAATAAAAATTCACAAATTGTTTTCATAACTATGGTAAGTTCTCTTTGAAGGACACCTAGCAGAACCAAATAGCAGGCAAACTCCAGCACTAGCACAAAGATGGTTTACCCCAGAATATGTTACTTTGAGTAAAAGCACTGTGTTATAGAACATGACTGTCTCAGAGTCAACAACTGACCTGTCCTCCATTAGTGTTTCTAATACTAACTTGGTTTTTCAGTCATTTATCAAGATTCGTAGCACACAGCCAACAGCACATGGTCAGCTAAATTTATGTTCTCATTTTCATTTTCTGTTAGTGTTAACAACAAAAATTCCCAGAAAAAAAACCTGCCTCTTCAAAGCAAAACTTCTGCAAGGCTGATGGAACATTTGGAATGCTGCAGGTCCAGAGCCCAATTACAATTTATCTTGAGCTTTGTTTAGGCCCCTAAATAGACACTCTTTGTCCCCATCAGGGTCTGACCTAACATTCTATGACTAACAGATAAAAATCTTTTGAGAAGCATTAACTTAGCAGACCACCAGCTTCCACCAACTCAAGGACTAAGAGGCTTATTGGGTAGCATCTAAAATCTGTAACAAAATTCTCCCGAATTTGCAATAACCCGCTTCTCTGATGTCTTCACAAATGTATTTGAAAAGTCTCATGATTTATGACTTTCTTTGTTCTGTTACTACAAAAATTTCATGAAACTTACAGCTAAGTCACTGTTCTCTTTCCCCACTTCCTGACTGCACATTATGTTTCAGTTCTTCCTAACCACTGTTGTAGCTCAGGGCTTCAAAAAGTCTCACTCAAATCATTTTAATGGAATAAACTAGTTTTTTTCTATAAGATTTATTTTTATTGTCCACATAAAAAGTTATTTAGACAATTATTTCTCATTGATGATTTTGTTCCTATCAGAAAGTGCTGCTCAGATGTAAGACTTCAAATCTTGGTCTGCAATACTGCAGTGTCCACCTGTAGCTAAGGGAGC